TAGATCCTGCGTTAGGGATTTCAAGTAATGCGTTTTTGCGGCTTGGTGTTGTTGGGGATTGGAAGAACAACTTCACTGCCTAGATGAAAGAGCGCCTTGATCAAATTACTTTGATGAAATTAGAAGGGTCTGGCCTAGAACTCGAGAGATACAAATTTGGAGGAATTTGAACTTGAAGCTTTAGTTAATAGCCTTAAGGCAAATAAACTACTTAGTTGTTGCTATTTAGAGTAGAAAGCGTTTGAAAAAAAGTTGTTGCTTTATGTATAATCCATTAGCGGGAGGGAGGGGGATTCAAATATGGGTACACGTGCTCAGAGAGCTGTCCACTTGCTCTATCAACTAGGTCACTGGATAATGCTCTATGTATAATCCATTAGATTGGCATCCTTGTTTTGTAATTTGATTGTATTGCCATGCAAATCATGCATATGTGTTTATTTTTTTTTAATTTTAGTTAAAGGTATATGTGTTTATTTTAATATCATCATTTAATTTTTTTTCCCAATATAACTTTTCTTTTCAGGAAATTCATTTGTTTCACCTTAAGCTAATCGTTTTTAAGACCAATAATACCAGTGAGCCATTTTCTTGTGTAAAAGTGCATGCTATACTTCCTTACTATTGAGTTATGTTCGCAGAATTGCATGAAATTGTAGTCGCGGAACCCTAAAACAACAATCTTCGAGGAATAAAACAAAGCAATCACGAAAAAAAAACTATCATACATAATCAATACAAACTTTGGGATGAAGAATTTCACTATGAAAAATATTAAGGATTACAATGAAAAATTTCCTCTCAGTCTCTAGCTCGCTCTTTCTTATGTAGACACAATAATTCTCTGATAATTGAATCACCCACCAAAATTCTGATTTAGGTTCACATTCGAGGCATGTTGGATGTACCCATCCACAACTTCTATGAGCTTATGCAAGTTTCTCAGTCATTGTCTAGCAATAATTATTTATTTATTTATTATTTTTATTATTTTTTGGTCTCTAATATATGTTATGATAATTATGGTCTTCATTTGTTGGAGAAAAATGAAATGTCATGTGTATGTTGTTTTAGGAATCCAATTCCATCACTGGAGAAATTTAGCAATTTTCCTATCCTTTTGGAACGAGTTAAATGCATTGGGTCATTACTTTTTTGGGTGTGCAGGAAACTGACAATTTCATAAGAAAATTTCTAAAACAACATACACATGGCATGAATGATCCAGTGATGAAGTGGATTGAAATGGCGACAACCATGAATAATCTGGACCACTTTGCTGAAAGTCGTCCTAGAATGTCGACGGAGAAGATGATTGAAAAATTATCTCTATCCCTTTTTGTTTTTGCAGTCGAGGGAGAGCCTTTTGTTTCATTTTTCTCATCTATTTTCTCTCTCTATCTTGAAGCCCTCTTTGTTTTTTTTCCCGTCTATTTTCTCTTTCTATCTCGTCTATTTTCTCTCTCTATTATCTCTTTCCCTTTTATTTTTGCAGATTAATTTTTTAAGTTAATTTTTTTTTTTTTTACTAATAATAAAATGTAATTTAAAGAAATAATATAAATTCATTCCATTCCAACTTTCTTACTAAACATAGGAATGAGAATGAACATTCCATTTTTACACATTCCATGTTTGCAACCAAACGGTAGAATAAGAATCATCATTCCCATTCCATTCTCTTCTCATTCCATTCCCACCTTCCATTCTAATTCATTCCACCACACCAAACATGCCCTAACTTGAAAGCTTTGATTGAACTCTAATTGACTTGATTTTGGAAGAGATATAAACCTCTATTTATAGGCTAATTAAACCCTTAGTACGAATTTATTAATTAACATTCATCTCCCTTTTCATGATTCATCTCTCCTTATATGATTTATCTCACTAAACAATCATTATTGTAGATCTAAAAGTCACACAAGAAAATACATTAACCATACTCAACCATACATGTATGTAAGACTATGCATGTACGGAGGAAAACACAGTAATCTAGCTTAACTTTCTAATAATTAACCCTTTTATCTTTTATTCTCCATATTTGGTTTTTTCTTCTCTCATTACAATATATATATTTTTTTCTATCCTCCACTCATAATGTGATTATAAAATCTCAGTCTTACCTTTTCTTTTCTCCACTCGTTACATTCTCACTATCTTATTCCGGTTGAACTCACTTGCATTCTCTCATATATTTTATTCGTCACGATTTCTCTCAGTACAATGCTTTTTTTTTTTCCTCTTCTCCATTAATTACAATCTCACTATCTTACTAGCTTCATTTTTTAACTCACTTTAATTCTCACATATTTTGGTACTGAACAAGTATGTAGTAATTTTTTATTATTAAATCTCTACTATATTGGTTGAAGTCTAATGATATTGACGTGGGAATTTTTTACCATTAAATCTGTATTATTTGGTTAAGGTCTAATAATTGATATTTAAGAGTTTTAATAGATGTAACATTTTATTATAACAATTTATTCCTTTTTCCAATTTTAAAACGAGAAGAATAATTTTTAAATAAACATTATTACTATTAATTTATTCCTTTATATACATATCTTTTAAGACCAGCAGCCCTGTCATCCAAGTCTTGTCGTTTTACATGATTATGAATTGATAACAAACAAAGATATAAAACAAAGAGGGCAAAGCTCCATGCGTACTAAACGAGCAAAGAATGCTAAAAACCTAAAACAAGTACTCACATCTCACATTCATTTTGAATGGTTTTGCAATTTCTTTGCGTTCATATGGTGGAAACAATAGCAATATATATATATATATATATATATATATATATATATAATGCTTGTGACAAGGGAAGTTCAAATACTGAGTCAAACCGTGTGTATATATATATGTGACAAGGGAAGTTCAAATGCTGAGTCAAACCGTGATCCTTTAATTAAACATTTGGCCGCACAAAGAAAACGTGAACTTCACTGTCACTCTGTCAGTAATCATGCTATCACCTTCCAGTCCAATAATTCATCTTTTCTTATTAATATTTCCTTTTCTTCTTAGTTCATTTTCTTTTTCAGACGTAATTGCTTATTTAGTAGTGAAGTAGTCCTGCAATTAATATAGACACGGAGGGAGTACTATATTCTTGTGCACTTAACCCAAGTATTAAAAACCACCTAATCACTCCATACAATTAGACAATAAAAATAATTTTATGGTCCTATGCACTAAATAATTTAGATAGATATGCAAAGAGTTCTATGAAAGAGATGTATGGTAGATATATAACAACTTTGTCGGTTAATTATGGAAAAAAAAAACTTTGTCGGTCTCCACTGTTCATGTGCCATAATTGGCCGCTTCCAAGTGTATATGTAAATGGATTCGCTCAACAACATACACTGTTAGAAGAAATCTAGCTAGCTTTGGAATCTTCGTACATCCTTGAAAAATTATTGCTCAATCACTCTTCTCATTCTCTAGAATCCTTACTAGATCAACTTGTTGGAATTTTTATATATATTTATATTTAAATAATAAAAATTATTTTATGGTCCTATGCACAAAGTTTTTTAAAGTAGGATTGTAATGTAATTATTGATACTTGATGGATTGGGTTTGTACTTTCCAATTTGGTGGTCTAATTAGGAGTATGGTTTTTATACCGTTATATTGTGGTTTTCTAACTTATTTGGTGTGATTTAATTATAACCATTGATATTTAAGTTTTCATGATAGGAAGGGAGACTTAGGTATGCTTGTTTGTAGATAAGCCGTTTCCCCCAGTTGTTGTTATATATAAGGGTTTCAAAACCTTTATTCAAACTTATCGTATAGACAACTTTCAGAAGGGAGTAAAGCGCTCTAATATTTTACAGAGGATTATATGGATATTCTAAAAGTATATGTGCGTTAATCATCAATCAGATACGAGTCTAAATTACTCTTTAATTAATTAAAATATTTTGATTTCTATATGGATTAATTTGATTAAAACTCAACAATTGGTATCATAGCAGGTTAGGGTTTAAATTTTTTAGTGTAGGAATCAACAAATATTGCACAAATTATATTGATGTCCGTGGTGATAGTTAACTCCAGGATTACGTCGTATTATTGCGCCTACCTCTGTGTATGTATATTATAGATATTAGATCAAATCTATGACATAACTTGAACAAATAACATTAGTAGCGTATTGTCACACCCCGCTACCAAGAGGCTATGCCACGCAGGCGCCCAGCAGACGATGACATGGATCCTGCATGGACTAGAGCTTTCTAGACTTCTCTACACAAGTATGGAACTTCCGGAATTCTCTAGATTAGTGTGGAGTTGTCTAGCCTTTTCTAGACTTGTCTAGAGTTGTATAGAATTCTCTAGAATTCTCTAGACTTGTCTTGTACATAGTAGATAGTTCTAGAGTTGTGTAGATATTTCTGGAGGATTCTAGATACTAAATCTAGGCCACACATTTGTACACATCTAGAATGTTCTTGTAAGGCCAAAGGCCTATAAATAGGAGGTGAGAGTTCATTTGCTCCTCACCAAGCAACCAAGTTGTAATCTCTCCTCTCAAGTAATACAAGTTCTATACATTCCCAAACTTTCTTGCTCACTTGCCTAACCTCTTCCTACACACCCAAGTAAGCAAAACACTTGTCTAGCCTTAGTCTTCACTAAGCTAGCACACTCGGGTAGGCTGACTTAGCGCTTCAAGGGGGCTTGAAAGTGTCTAAGGCCGCACGGGAGCTTGAAAAGGTTCAAGTCCGTGACAGTTGGTATTAGAGCTAAGGTCGTGAGGCGTCACACCTTGTGTGGAGGAAGCTATGGGGGAGCTATCAGACGTGACTGGCACCCAAGAGGAGACTCTACGTGGAAGGGAAACAAATCCCCCTCCAGGCGGAGTGAGGACGAGGGTTAGGTCGAAGGACATCATGGCGGGCTTAGAGGCACGTGTGGCAATGATGGAGGGGTCCATAGCCAACGTGTTGGAGCAGCTTGAGGATGCTCACTAGCGCATGGATGGACTGGAGTCGGAGGACGTTGAGGTCCAAAATGCTGTCAAAGGGTCACTCAATGCCCTAAGTGGTGACTTTCGGCAGGAGCTCCAAGCACTTCGAGAACTTATGTTGGGGGAGTTTGCCACCCTACGTGGCTATGTTGATCAGGAGCTTGGCACTTTCCACGAGCAAATGGAGGAAATGCGAGCGGACTGGACATTGTGCAAACGGGCGGTGGCGTCCGGCACAGCTACTACGGGGGTAGTAGCAACCCGGGTTGATATTCCCAAGCCTAAGTGCTATGGTGGGAACCGGGTAGCGAGGGAGTTGGAGAACTTCCTCTTCAGCATGGAGCAATACTTTGAGGCTACGGGTATGACCGATGAGACCATCAAGATACGCACGACGACCCACTACCTCACCGACCATGCCATGCTATGGTGGAGGAAAAAGTATGGTGACATAGGCAAAGGTACGGTCTCTATTGATACTTGGGCTGATTTCACTAGGGAAATTAAGAAGCATTTCTATCCTGAGAATGCCGAGGATGAAGCTAGGGGCAGACTCCGAAGGCTAAAACAGGTTGGGTCGATTCGGGACTATGTGAAGGAATTCACTAACTTGACTCTTGAGATCCCGGATCTATCCGACAAGGACTCTCTTTTCTTCTTCATGGATGGATTGCAGTTGTGGGCTAAGACGGAGTTGAGGCGGCGCAACGTGCAAGACCTTGCCACAGCTATTGCAGAGGCGGAGTCCTTTATTGATTTCAGCTCCAAGAAGGAACCCTCGTCCAAGCCAAAAGACAAAGACAAGGACAAGGGGAGGTATGCCGGCAAAGGTGGGGGAGACAAGGGCGCTGCACCCCACAAGGATTGGTCCTGTAAGCCAGGTGGTGGCCATGGAGGCAAAGAGGGAAGGGAGAACAAGGAAGGAGCACCCAAGCCTAAGGGTTCTTGCTTCATATGTGATGGACCACATTGGGTACGAGATTGCCCAAAGCGGAAGACCCTCAATGCCATGACGAGCCGCTATGAAGAGCAACAACAGGAGGAGGCGCAGATGGGTTCATTGCAAATCCTTAATGCCATCAAGGCTAAAACTGAAGTCCCTAAGGCAGCAGCTAAAGGGCTAATGTTCGTGGAGGCGAGCATCAATGGGACACCCACACGTGCTTTGGTAGACACGGGTGCATCCCACAACTTTGTAAGTCTTGACGAGGCCAAGAGGTTGGGCCTCAAGTATAGCAAAGAAGGGGGCTCCATGAAGGCAGTTAACTCGGCGGCAAAGGCTATACATGGCATGGCACACGGCGTCCAAGCATGCATTGGCGAGTGGGGTGGCCACATAGATCTATCAGTGGTACGCATGGACGACTTCAAACTAGTCCTTGGGTTGGAGTTCTTAGACAAGGTGAGAGCCTTCCCCATTCCTTTTGCTAACACTATGTGTATTATGGAAGGCAACACAGCATGCATGGTGCCGGTGGAGCGAGGTGCTAAGTTGGAAGCCCAAGCTTTGTCAGCTATGCAGTTCAAGAAGGGCTTCAAGAAGGGAGAGACTAGCTACCTTGCTACGTTACTGGAGACACCCGATGATGAGCTAGTCCCTTCTACACAAGAAGAGGTGCCTAAGGAGATACGAGCCGTACTAGACGAGTACACGGATGTGATGCCTAAGGAGCTGCCCAAGAAGCTTCCACCTAGGAGGGAGGTGGATCATAAGATTGAGCTGGAACCGGGTTCTAAACCCCCTGCTTTGGTGCCCTACCGGATGGCACCCCCAGAGTTAGAGGAGTTACAAAGGTAACTTAAGGAATTGTTAGATGCGGGCTATATTCGACCATCGAAGGCCCCATATGGCGCACCGGTGTTGTTCCAGAGGAAAAAGGACGGGTCCTTGCGCATGTGCATCGACTACCGGGCGCTCAACAAGGTGACTATCAAAAACAAGTACCCCATTCCTCTCATTGCCGATCTCTTTGATCAGCTTGGTGGAGCACGCTACTTCACTAAGCTTGACTTGCGCTCGGGGTACTACCAGGTGCGGATAGCGGACGGGGATGAGCCTAAGACTACGTGTGTGACGAGCACCACTCTAGAGGAGCACGTGCAGCACTTAAGGGCGGTCTTCCAAGTCTTACGGAAGAACAACCTATATGTGAAGACGGAGAAATGCTCCTTTGCCCAAGAGGAGGTGTTGTTCCTAGGGCATAAGATACGGGATGGCAAGTTGATGATGGATGAGGCAAAGGTGAGGGCCATTCAAGAGTGGGAGCCGCCCACTAAGGTGACAGAGTTACGCTCATTTCTTAGGCTTGTCAACTACTACCGTCGCTTTATCAAGGGTTACTCGGCGAGAGCAGCCCCATTGACAGACCTTCTCAAGAAGGCGCGTGCTTGGAGTTGGACAGAGACATGCCAGGGGGCATTTGATGACTTGAAGAGGGCAGTTACAGAGGAGCCGGTACTTAGCTTGCCCGACCACTCCAAACCATATGAGGTGCACACAGATGCATCAGACTTCGCTATTGGGGGCGTGTTAATGCAGGAAGAACACCCCATAGCTTATGAGAGCCGCAAGCTTAATGACACCGAGCGGCGCTATACGGTGCAGGAGAAAGAAATGACGGCGGTCATCCATTGCCTACGTACTTGGAGGCACTACTTGCTCGGGGCACAATTTGTGATCAAAACGGATAATGTTGCCACCAGCTACTTCTAGACACAGAAGAAGCTTAGCCCCAAGCAAGCTCGTTGGCAGGACTTCCTAGTGGAGTTCACTTATCATTTTGAATATAAGCCGGGCAAAGCCAATGTTGTGGCGGATGCGCTTAGTCGTAAGGCCGAGCTCGCAGCTATTAGTCGGCCCCAGCACCCTTTTGTGGAGCGGATCAAGGAGGGGTTGCAACATGACCCTCTAGCCAAAAGCCTTATTCAGCTAGCTAAAGAAGGGAAGACTCGGCGCTTTTGGCTGAGGGATGATTTACTTCTCACTACAGGGGACCGAATCTTTGTGCCCAGGTGGGGCAACTTACGAAAAGAGTTGATACGGGAGTGCCATGACACCAAATGGGCTGATCACCCAGGTATGCGGCGCACACTAGCACTCCTAGAAGATTCTTACTATTGGCCTCGGATGCGTGATGATGTGGAGACATATGTGAGGACTTGCCTTGTGTGCCAACAAGACAAGATTGAGCAACAACATCCTGCAGGCCTATTGGAGCCATTGCCTATTCCAGAGAGACCATGGGAGAGTGTCTCTATGGATTTCATTACTTGCTTGCCCAAGTCAGAAGGTTGTGGGAGCATTATAGTGGTGGTAGATCGGTTTAGCAAGTATGCCACCTTCATACCCGCACAAGCAGACTGCACAGCAGAGAGGGCGGCAGAGTTATTTGTCGACCATGTGGTCAAGCTTTGGGGAGTCCCACAAAACATTGTCAGTGACAGAGACCCGCGTTTCACGGGTAGATTTTGGACGGGGCTCTTCAAGAAGATGGGGATAGATCTCAACTTCTCTACGAGTTTCCACCCCCAATCAGATGGGCAGACGGAGTGCATCAACGCTCTCCTGGAGCTTTATTTAAGGCACTATGTGAGTGCCAACCAGCGAGATTGGGCCAAACTCCTTGGAGTGGCACAGTTTTCTTACAACTTGCAGCGGAGTGAGGCTACCAATCACAATCCCTTTGAGGTTGTTACCGGACGGCAGCCTATGACACCCAACGCCATTGCTTCGACTTACGATGGTAAGAGTCCGGCGGCCTAAAAATTTGCTAAGAGGTGGCATGAGCAGTCCGACTTGGCTAGGGCGTACCTTGACAAGGCGACAAAGAAGATGAAGAAGTGGGTCGACACCAAGCGAAGGCGGGTGGAGTACATAGTGGGAGACCAGGTGATGGTTAAGCTACTACCCCAACAATTTAAGTCCTTTCGGAGCGTGCATAAGGGGCTAGTAAGGAGGTACGAGGGCCCGTTCCCCATCGTCAAGCGGGTGGGCAAGGTCTCCTATATGGTGGAGCTTCCACCCAAGTTGAAGATACATCCAGTCTTCCATGTCAGCATGCTCAAGCCTTATCATAAAGACACGGAAGACCTTACTCGGGGCATATCGTATAGGGCACCCACGGCCGTTGTCACATCCTTTGATAAGGAAGTTGATTGCATCCTTGCAGATCGTGTGATGAGCAGGAGAGGTGTGCCCAAATATACAGAGTATTTAGTGAAGTGGAATAACCTGCCAGATAGCGAGGTGAGCTGGGAGCATGAGGATACACTATGGCAGTTCGTGGAGCATATCCAGCGGTTCAAGCAAGAAGACGCGACGAATGCGTCGCGAGCTTAGGTGGGGGAGAATGTCACACCCCGCTACCAAGAGGCTATGCCACGCAGGCGCCACACAGGCGCCCAACAGACGATGACATGGAGCCTGCATGGACTAGAGCTTTCTAGACTTCTCTACACAAGTATGGAACTTTTCGGAATTCTCTAGATTAGTGTGGAGTTGTCTAGCCTTTTCTAGACTTGTCTAGAGTTGTATAGAATTCTCTAGAATTCTCTAGACTTTTCTTGTACATAGTAGATAGTTCTAGAGTTGTGTAGATATTTCTGGAGGATTCTAGATACTAAATCTAGGCCACACATTTGTACACATCTAGAATGTTCTTGTAAGGCCAAAGGCCTATAAATAGGAGGTGGGAGTTCATTTGCTCCTCACCAAGCAACCAAGTTGTAATCTCTCCTCTCAAGTAATACAAGTTCTATACATTCCCAAACTCTCTTGCTCACTTGCCTAACCTCTTCCTACACACCCAAGTAAGCAAAACACTTGTCTAGCCTTAGTCTTCACTAAGCTAGCACACTCGGGTAGGCTGACTTAGCGCTTCAAGGGGGTTTGAAAGTGTCTAAGGCCGCACGGGAGCTTGAAAAGGTTCAAGTCCGTGACAGTATGGTGAAAAGAACCCTCTTTCAAAGACCTACAGGCCGAGTTGACAAAGCTGATGGGTAGACAATTGACAAATAATTGGTATGATAACTACATGTACAAGCGTGTGTGATGAAAGTCAATCAGTCTTCCATGTGCTGTCATATCATCACAACATTAAATTAGGCTGTCTTTCTTTTTCGAAGCAGTTTTAATTGACCCGGCATGTAAAACCATGTTAAAGTAATTTTTCCTAATATTAGTTTTCTAAAAAGTAAATTCATTATGTTATCCAAAAACCCGAATAATCACTTAAGGAAGAACTCACCAAAATTGCACCTGGAAAAGCAACTGTTGCTAGTGGAAAACTTGCACTTTGACTCTCAAATTTCTTTAACTTAATATAAAGTTTTTTCTGGTCAGGAAGAATATTCAAATTATTTTTTTTGTCAATCAGGAAATATGTTTTGTGCGTAATTCCTCTGCATAATTGCATTGATCTTGTGTTAGATTCATCTTTAGATTAATCTAGATTAAGGTTACTAACTTACTGAATAGATGTGCGTGTTGCATATATATGAAAATTTAGAAATTTGAGACTATAATATTTATTTAGTTGATTTGATTCAAAAGAATGAGATTCCTTTTGAATTGTTTATTATGGAGTAGATTGAAATATTGCATTATAGGTACTAAATATATGTTCCGTTGTAAATATTAAGCTTACGATGTTTTGTCTATTTTCAATACAAAATTCAAATACTACATGCATATTCAATTTATCTTCAGATTATTCAAAAACTAACTTAAAAGTGATTTCTTGAATGTTATATTATTCCAATAATTTATTGGTAAAGGAAGAAACAATGAATATTTGAAATCTCTACTATGAGGTATTTATCTTGAATTACATGCTCAATTGATTTTAGTTTAATTTGATGTTGCGTGGTGGTTTATCTTGTACAATTTGCTTGCGTTTCATAAGCAATCAATATTAACCTAATTGATTTAAAGATGTAATTACTTTAAATTATTCATCGGATGTATAATATACATGCATCAAGTTTTTGTTATTTTATTTTAATTAAAGTATATCAAGAATTGAGATTTTTAAATCTTGATTGATATGCATGTTATTATTATATTGTTCACTATAATTTCTTAACATGCATGAGGAGGCTTTATTTTATTTGTATTAAAGTCATTTATATTATAGTGAAATTAATCAAGTGTTTCATAATATTTGGGTTTAGTTTATGTGTATTATAAAGAAATTGTTGACTTAAATAAATGGAACTTCTGCAATTTAGGTTCTTCCTTGGGGTTTAGGAAGACTTGTAAAGTGCCCGTTTCAAATGTGGTAGCCAAAGTGGGTGATGTCTGCCAAAAGGTGACACTCTCACGGAGGTTATTATTTTGAAATTTTAAGACATTGGTCTTATTGAGGTCTCACAGTACACTTACCTACATGAGGGCATTTGTTCTGTCAGAAGGTGATCAATGTCTTAGTGTGGGATAAGTGAGTAGAATATTTGAAAGCGCTTAAATTATAACTAAATAACCCTCTTGTTAAAAGGTAGTGGAAGTGTTTAGTAATAATTCAAGTATAATTAAATAGGCCTATGTGCGATTTTATCACAGGTTTGGGGGTAAAGTAAAAATCTAAAATTATGTCAAAAGGTGATTTTAGATGGCATTTATTTGTTCCCACAGGGTGGATAGTTTTTGCACATAGTAAAACACCCTGAGAAATTCGGCTTAAAACCCCAAGCACGAATTAAAGAAATAATCCCTAAAGCTATGACATATTATTTTATATGTTATTTATGTGGTGTTATTCAATATAACATTTATTCAGGTTACAGACACTTCCGCAATTT